AAGAGAGTTACAGTAGTCTAAGCGTGAGGAGATGAAGGTGTGGAGAACTGTCTCAAGTTCAGAGCGGGACAGAATGGGACTCAGCTTAGCAACGTTCCTGAGATGGAAGAAGGAAGAGCGAACAAGAGAACTGACATGAGAATGCAGAGTGAGAGCTGGGTCAAAGGTCACGCCAAGATTCCTGACAGAAGGTTTGGTGTGGGAAGCAAGCTGACCAAGAGAGTCTCTGACTTTGGGAACCAGCTTGTCTGGGGCACAGATGAGGATCTCAGTGAGAGTGAACTTGTTTGTGTTCAACACCTAGCTTGTTTTGTAGCTTTGCCATTGCAGCTTTAAATGGTCTCTCAGTCTAAATTGAATTACTGAAATAAAGGAACTTTTGCACCATGTTCATTTTTTTGTTGTTTCACCTGTATGTAGTTATAATCAAAGGAAAACATTAAAACTTTGGTTAATTTCCTGTTGTGTGAGATTTCTGAGCAAATTTTGATCTTTGAATACATTTTCCAACATTTTTAGAAGTTTAGTGTTAGTTTTTCACTTTTGGAATCATTTTGTATAATTTTGTTCTTTTTCAGTATTTTACAGCATTTACCCTAACTTATTGATGTCCAAGATTTGCATACATTTAGGAACTTTGTTAAACTCTAAACTCCCTTCAGAAAAATCATCTTAGATTTGAGGCTTTTGTTGCAGTTTTTATCAGAATCTCTAATTTATGAGCTTCTGAATGTGCTAAAAACTTGTCTGTAAGGTGATGGTCTTCTAATATATTTACACGTGTCTTCTCGTGTTGTCACGTGATGTTTTCTGGTATGTTGTTATAACTTGTATGAATACATGGACAAATCTTTGGCACATTTGACATCTCATACTAGTTAGCTATTTTCTGAGGGTGTTTCTTTGTATAAATCAACCTGACTGATGAATTCTGCTTTGGCTTCACACGCCTGACCTCGAGGTGTGGCTGTGTTTATCAGCTGTCATCGTAACCTTTAACAGACCTGCACATAATGAGCCCAAACCACCAAACGCCCTCATTTCTCCTCCTGGTTAATGATGTGTTGAAAACACCGTCAGGGTAAATAAACAGCTGCTTCAGGTGCCGATTCTGTGCGTTTTTAATCAACCCTCCTCTGTTTTAGTGCCAACCGGATTGTCTCACCATCCAGATCCGATCAGTTCTGTGCGTCTTCCTTGTTCTGCTCACCTACTCTGTCACTCAGGCCTGTGTGGTGAGTCTGCCTTTCACACATTAAAAAAAAACCTTCCAGTACAGAAACTTATTCTCATCAGCACAGTTTTAACAAGAATTACTCTCATAATAATGTTTAATATCTCGTAATGATGAGAAAGTTTGTCATTAAAACGTGTTAAATATCTTGTTTTAACGAGAAACGCTCTCGTAATAATGTTTAATATCTCGTAATGATGAGAAAGTTTTGTCATTAAAACGTGTTTAATATCTCGTTTTAACAAGAAACAATGTCGTAATAATGTGTTTAATATCTTGTTTTAATGAGAAATGCTCTCGTAATAATGTGTTTAATATCTCGTTTTAACAAGAAACAATCTCGTAATAATGTGTTTATTATCTTAAACGCTCTCGTAATAACGTGTTTAATATCTCGTAAAAAATGAGAACGTTTTGTCATTAAAACGTGTTTCATATCTCGTTTTAACAAGAAACGATCTCGTAATAATGTGTTTAGTATCTTAAACGCTCTCATAATGACGTGTTTAATATCCCGTAATGATGAGAAAGTTTTGTCATTAAAACGTGTTTAATATCTTGTTTTAATGAGAAATGCTCTCGTAATAATGTGTTTAATATCTCGTTTTAACAAGAAACAATCTCGTAATAATGTGTTTATTATCTTAAACGCTCTCGTAATAACGTGTTTAATATCTCGTAATAATGAGAAAGTTTTGTCATTAAAACGTGTTTAATATCTTGTTTTAATGAGAAATGCTCTCGTAATAATGTGTTTAATATCTCGTTTTAACAAGAAACAATCTCGTAATAATGTGTTTATTATCTTAAACGCTCTCGTAATAACGTGTTTAATATCTCGTAATAATGAGAAAGTTTTGTCATTAAAACGTGTTTAATATCTTGTTTTAATGAGAAATGCTCTCGTAATGACGTGTTTAATATCCCGTAATGATGAGAAAGTTTTGTCATTAAAACGTGTTTCATATCTCGTTTTAACAAGAAACGATCTCATAATAATGTGTTTATTATCTTAAACGCTCTCGTAATAACGTGTTTAATATCTCTTAATAATGAGAAAGTTTGTCATTAAAACGTGTTTAAATCTAGTTTTAATGAGAAAGGCTCTCGTAATAATGTATTTAATATCTCGTAAAAATTAAAACGTTTTGTCATTAAAACGTCATTAATATCTTGTTTTAACAAGAAACGATGCCATAATAATGTGTTTAATATCTTGTTTTAACAAGAAACAATCTCGTAATAATGTGTTTATTATCTTAAACGCTCTCGTAATAACGTGTTTAATATCTCGTAAAAAATGAGAACGTTTTGTCATTAAAACGTGTTTCATATCTCGTTTTAACAAGAAACGATCTCGTAATAATGTGTTTAGTATCTTAAACGCTCTCATAATGACGTGTTTAATATCTCGTAATAATGAGAAAGTTTTGTCATTAAAACGTGTTTAATATCTTGTTTTAATGAGAAATGCTCTCGTAATGACGTGTTTAATATCCCGTAATGATGAGAAAGTTTTGTCATTAAAACGTGTTTCATATCTCGTTTTAACAAGAAACGATCTCGTAATAATGTGTTTATTATCTTAAACGCTCTCGTAATAACGTGTTTAATATCTCTTAATAATGAGAAAGTTTGTCATTAAAACGTGTTTAAATCTAGTTTTAATGAGAAAGGCTCTCGTAATAATGTATTTAATATCTCGTAAAAATTAGAACGTTTTGTCATTAAAACGTCATTAATATCTTGTTTTAACAAGAAACGATGCCATAATAATGTGTTTAATATCTTGTTTTAACGAGAAACAATCTCGTAATAATGTGTTTATTATCTTAAACGCTCTCGTAATAACGTGTTTAATATCTCGTAAAAAGTGAGAACGTTTTGTCATTAAAACGTGTTTCATATCTCGTTTTAACAAGAAACGATCTCGTAATAATGTGTTTAGTATCTTAAACGCTCTCATAATGACGTGTTTAATATCTCGTAATAATGAGAAAGTTTTGTCATTAAAACGTGTTTAATATCTTGTTTTAATGAGAAATGCTCTCGTAATGACGTGTTTAATATCTTGTAATGATGAGAAAGTTTTGTCATTAAAACGTGTTTCATATCTCGTTTTAACAAGAAACGATCTCGTAATGATGTGTTTAGTATCTTAAATGCTCTCGTAATAACGTGTTTAATATCTCTTAATAATGAGAAAGTTTGTCATTAAAACGTGTTTCATATCTCGTTTTAACAAGAAACGATCTCGTAATAATGTGTTTAGTATCTTAAATGCTCTCGTAATAACGTGTTTAATATCTCGTAATAATGAGAAAGTTTTGTCATTAAAACATGTTTAGTATCTCGTTTTAACGAGAAACGATCTCGTAATAATGTGTTTAGTATCTCGTTTTAACAAGAAACGCTCTCGTAATAATGTGTTTATTATCTTAAACGCTCTCGTAATAACGTGTTTAATATCTCGTAAAAAATGAGAACGTTTTGTCATTAAAACGTGTTTCATATCTCGTTTAAACAAGAAACGATCTCGTAATAATGTTTAATATCTTGGTTTAACGAGAAACGCTCTCAAAATAACGTTAAATATCTCATAATAATGAGAAAGTTTTGTCATTAAAAGGTGTTTAATATCTTGTTTAAACGAGAAATGCTCTCATAAAATTGTGTTTAAGATCTAGATTCAACAGGAAATGCTCTCGTAGTAACGTTTAATATCTCGTAATAATGAAAAAGTTTTGTGATTTAATTGTGTTTAATATCTTGTTGTAATGAGAAAGTTTCGCCATTAAAACGTATCTAATATCTCGTTTGAACAAGAAATTATGCCATAATAATGTGTTTAATATCTTGTTTTAACAAGAAACGCTCTCGTAACAACGTGTTTAATATCGCGTGAATATTTATTGACTTTGTCCACAAAGAAAGACAGAAAGTTCTCACAGTCTGCAACAGAGTGGATGGAGGCTGTAGGAGAGGCAGGAGAGACGATGCTGCACCTTGGGGTTCCCTTTGCTCTGGGACACCAGGTTGGAGAAATAGGAAACCCTAGCGTCTCTGACTGCAGAGTTAAAGGATGTCAGAAGATCCTTTAGGTGCAGCAGATGGACGTAGAGACTGCCAATGCCATCGTTAAGCCAGGACTGCAGGGACTGATCTGGTTCTGACAGGACAGATGTTGTCCAGATATTTCTGAGACCGAACCGAATCAGCCCGATCGGTTCTGTTGGATTTGGGCCGTGAATTATGTTAATAGAGCGGGTTGTCGCACGGCGCGCTCCGCTCGCTCGATCAGCGACTGAGAGGGAGGATCGGAGGACGCTCCTCCAAACACACATTATTATTTTCACAATTTCATTATTATTTCTCCTGGAAGCGCTCAGTTAGACCGGGTGTTGTGATGTCGGGAGATCCGGTCTTGTCGGGAGAGTGACGGCGGCTGCAGCGTGATCATCTGTCTCTTTTATTTCGGTACACGGAGAAGTTAAAAGGAGAGAGAAATAGAAGATAGAAGTTCTTGTTCCACTTTATTCTTTTGTTTCATGATGATAAACTGGGAGGAAGCTTTGGTTCACTTTAGGTTACAGGAGATCTTGTTTCCTATCTGCTCCTCCAGAGACAGCATGGACATGAGGGTCCCACAGGTTAGTGCAGTCACACAGCCGAGCTGGAGGGGTTGTTGTCCTGCTTTATATTGCAAGCTTGTGTGTTATGTGCGTTACAGCCAGCGATCCAAGCAGCAGCAGCAGTACCCCCCTGGCCCTCTTGCTTCTTGGTCTTTTTTGTGAGTGGCCCTCAGACCATCACAATTGAGGACCCCTGCTGTAAAGGGTCATTTTAGCACATACTCGCTCAAGAAAACTATTTAAAAACAAGATTGCAAAGTATCTGGAGCCAATAAGACAGGAAGTGGATCCTTTCTCTGTCCTAACAGACTATTTCTCTAAACTGAGGCCTTTCAGGAAGCTACCTACATCACATTTATTTAAATTATGTATTTTAAACAGAAACACACTTTGACTTGGCAAAAATATCCCCTTAAAGCACTTTTCAGAGCAAGGATTGGCAACATCTGTCCTGTCAGAACCAGATCAGGTCCTGCAGTGAACCCTACTCCCTGGTTTACTGACAGCCTTCGCAGCCTGAAGCGCCAATGCAGAAAAATTGAGCGTTTGTGGAAGAAAACCCATCTCCACGTCCATCTGCTGCACCTAAAGGATCTTCTGACATCCTTTAACTCTGCAGTCAGAGACGCTAGGGTTTCCTATTTCTCCAACCTGGTGTCCCAGAGCAAAGGGAACCCCAAGGTGCTGTTTAACACCATCAGCAGCATCGTCTCTCCTGCCTCTCCTACAGCCTCCATCCACTCGTTTACAGACTGTGAGAACTTTCTGTCTTTCCTTGTGGACAAAGTCAATAAGGTTAGATCTAGCATCTCTCCTTCAGCCTTATCGCCGCCTCTCCCGACTCCAACCAGGCCCATCATCCTAGATAGCTTTGCTCCTGTTTCTTTGCCTGAGTTAACCAAACTAGTTAACTCTATGAAGACCTCTGCATGCCCCCTCCTCATCTTTACTGCTCTGCTGCCCCCTAGTGTCAGAACACAATGGTAAACTCTACTTTTCCAAACGCCGGCCTCTCAGGAAGCTTCCAGCAACAAGTCAGATACCAACTGTTGCATTTACACTGAACTTTAAAATGCCACAACATTTTTTAAACCACATGCACAGATAATTGATCTGTGTTTGAGTAGCTACAGCACTACTTTTTGCAGTTTGTCATTTTTACAACCTTAAATTGGTGATACTAGTTTTTGATTCATTTTGACATAATTTTAGAGAAGATGCCTGATTTTTTCTGAGTTAGAAAGTCAGAAGACAAATCTGGATTATTCCCATTCAGGTGGGTTGTGTCCCGTGGGGGCGCGTTGAGACAAACTCCAGCCGCCTTCCAGAAGACGCGCTGGCCACGGACGCTCTGGGGTTTGGATCCACTAACGGGACGGTGCCGGACCGGGCCGGCCCCAGCATGGCGTACGCCTTGCTGTCCTGCGTAGCCGGGAGCCTAACCGTGGTCCCTTTCCTCCGAGTCTCATCGCTCCCCAAGATCCTGCTCCTCCTCCTCATCTCTGTTACATACACGGTTGTCATGGAAACCAGTGGCTACCGACAAGCTGTGGGGTGAGCCTGAGTGTGACTTATTCCTATTTGTTTTTTTTGTTTGTTTGAATGATAAAAATCTGGCATTTAATGTGAGTTTTGTCCCAAAATTACATTTAAAGTAAAAAATCAAACTTTAAATGTAAGAAAAAGACAAAATACATAAAAATCTGCAGCTGCTCTTATGTTTATTTATTTATTTTGTGTCTTGGGGGGCTTGCTTTGCTTTCAGAGATATTTAATATTTTAAATAGTTTTTTTCTTAATATTTTCACAGCAGCATTTTTACTTGTATGCGTCATCAAGCTCTTTTCTTTGAGTTTAAGGTGAAATTTGTGAGACAAACTGGTCATTTCCCTGTTTTTTGTCAATATCCTTCATTGAATTACTTTTAATTCTTCCAACAACCCAAAGATCACAGCAAAAATAAAGAATAAAACTTTGTGGTTCTGTTTACTTTCATGTCTTTGTTTCCTCCAGCGGCGGGTTTCTTCACACTCGGGGTTATGATCCCGTTTTGGCTGTCGTGTTGTTTTCCGGAGCTCTGGCTCTCCATTCCAGACAGCTGGACCTTAAACTCAGACTCGATTACCTCTGGGTGACTCAGGTGAGCGTCTGACTTCCTGATTGGTTTTGGTTAAAAAATATATTTTGACCCAGCCGGGCAAATACAACCTTTGACACAGAAAACCCATACTTCCTCACGTTACATAGCCAACCAGAAATTAAAAATCCTACAAAAACTCTAATTCTCACTGTGAAGATAAAATTAACTATACACTTCATTATTTTACATTTTTTGTATTTATATAATTTAATCACATAACAGTATATGATATTATATGATTTTATATTATATTATATTATATTATATTATTTTATACTATATTATATTATATTATATTACATTATATTATATTGTTTTCTATTATATAATTAAAACAAAACTATTTACATTTTTCTCCAGATTTCTTACATTTTAAATCTCTCTTCTTAAATTTGAAAAATGTCAATAAAATAAATAATAATGATAAATATTTTCTGCGTCACGCTGGTAAGTTTAGTTTTTAATATTGAATGTATTATTACTTTTACTTCATTTTTTTATTTAATGCCTACTTAATTTGAGATCATGTGAGAGAAAAAGTATCATGAATTTTCTAAATTTTAATACTATTTTTGATCCTGAAAAATACAATTATTATAGGTTTTAGGTCTTTAAAATCATGGAAGTCTTTGTAAATAAGAATATTTGTTTGTTTTAGTGTGAACTTATTTTTATTAAGTTGATTATACATGCTCTTCTCAACTTATAATAATAATAATAATAATAATAATAATAATAACAATAATAATAATAATAATAATAATAATAATAATAATAATAATAATAATAATAATAATAATTAGTAAAGAATAATGAATGTTTTCTTTATTCCAGTTGAGTTGGTGAGGAGAGCCTGTTTCTATTTTAGGAGAGCTGATTATCCTGTCTGTGAGTTGTAGTCTCCCTCTAGTGATAAGGACGTGTTACTACACCCCTCATCTCTAAGCTTCCTTCTCTCGTCTCTGCTGGTGGATTTCAGGCAGAAGAGGAGCGAGACGACATGGAAAAGGTGAAGCTGGACAACAAGAGGATCCTGTTCAACCTGCTGCCGGCTCACGTGGCTCAACACTTCCTCATGTCCAACCCCAGGAACATGGTGAGGCTCGTTCCACTGGAGTTTACTGGGAGGTCAAAGGGCTCCAAACATATATAATATGTGGGGGTTTGTCTTTTACAATCAGCCATACTGGTTTGTCCTGGTCTCAGCGTGAGATCCTGGTGGTGGGGCCTGATAAGAACATGGAGTACGGCTTTCTCCTTCTTATCAGAAGCAGTCTTCCTAGTCCCCGTCCTCTGGAGGCTCTGGAAGCTCTGGGAGAAGGAGACCCTCGGGGCAGTACCTGAACTTACTAAAACTCTTGGAGAAACTGGGGCGCTTCCCTGTGTTCCTCTATTAGTCTGACTTTTTGACAAATGATAAATGGATGAGGTTGTCTTTGACATAATAATGGATCAACAGATGGATCGGGGAGAACCGGGCTGTTGTGATGACGCCAGGAAGCAAAGCTCTCAATGTCCTGGTTGAGCTTCATCCCGATCCTCAAAGAGCAAGAAGAATGAAGAGTTTCCTCCGTCAGATGGTTTGGCTCAGCCTGAGATGGGGTCAGGAGCTCAGCGTAGAGCCGCTGCCCCTCCACACCCAGGATTTACAAAACTTTGGTTGTCCTTGAAACGTCTCAGAGCTGATGTAGTAATCTGTTTTAAAATGATGATCAGCTTTTACAGATCCACATCTGTCCACGAGACAAAACCAGAAATCAGCATCTGCAAATCGTCAGAAATAAGAAATGTTCGGCTCACGTCTCATAAAACTATTTTAAAAACAACCTGTTTCCGCTGCTGTGAGTTAAAAACGCACCCGACTGAACAGTCAGCAGCACTAAAGCTCTGACAGAGGTGGTTATTGGAGTTTGTTAATAATAAAAAGATAAACAAACAAGAGTTTATCCTCCAACAATCAGCGGGGCGACGCATCAGACAGCTGACGGGAGTCAGGAAGTTTGTTTCCAGCACATCGGGGACCCCCGCAGAGCTACAGTGTTCAGAAAGACTTCCTGTCTTTCCTCTGGGCCAAAGTTCCCCCACACACTGTATTCAGGGCGCAACACAGTGGGATCCTCCAGCATCAGGAGTATGAAAACATTTTCCTTGCGTGTGAAGCTTTATCTGTGGCCACCGGGGCTTTATTTTGGTTCTGGACGCTGATTTTGTCGTATTTGTTAGATTTCTTCTTTGAAGCTCCGTGAGGGAGGGGGCATCTCTCCCCAAAGCTTCTGCTAAAGAAAACATTTTCTCACAAATCTGGAACAAACGTTTTACTCAAAGGTGTCGAATAACAAAGTACAAATACTTAAGTAAAACTTTGGGCATGTATACATGGAGTAATTGTTGTCTACTCCTAACATTTTAAACATAGCTGTGTCTTAGAAACCAGAGGGACAAAAAAACGTAACCAGAGAAATTGTGTCATCTAGAGCAACTTTGATTGAAGAAGAAGAAGAAAATATCATTTCTATAGCGTCTCTCAAGATAAAAATCACGAGGCGCTTCACAAAAACAAAAAATGTGAAAATATAAAAAATAATTTAGAAAATGTGTAAAAATTTATTTAAAATAAGCAAAAATAAACAATTGTGATTAAAAAATGTTAAGAAAGAGAGAGAGTGAACAGGAAAGAGGGAAACCAGTGGATCCTGAGGAAGGTGGAATAGGTGGGGAGAGCAGAATAAAGAGAGAGAGGTGAAGAAGGTCATACAAAAGCCAGCTTGAACAAGTGAGTCTTCAGCTGCTTTTTAAAGGAGACCACTGAGTCCACTGATCTCAGGCTCAGGGGGAGAGAGGTCCAGAGTCTGGGGGCCACAGCAGCAGATGATCTGTCACCTTTGACCTTTAGCCTGGTGCTGCACAACCAGTAGGCTTTGATCACTGGACCTCAGGGACCTGCTGGGGGTGTAGGGACTAAGAAGATCACCAATGTAAGATGGTGCTTGTCCATGTAAGGCCCTATAGACCAGAACCAGGATCTTGAAATGAACCCTGAAGTTGACTGGCAGCCAGTGAAGCTGGAGGAGAAGCGGGGTGATGTGGGTGTGTTTGGAGGACTTGGTCAGAAGCCGAGCACAGGTATTCTGAACCACCTGTAGACGGTTCAGGGAGGTTCTGCTCAGACACGTGAAAAGAGAGTTACAGTAGTCTAAGCGTGAGGAGATGAAGGTGTGGAGAACTGTCTCAAGTTCAGAGCGGGACAGAATGGGACTCAGCTTAGCAACGTTCCTGAGATGGAAGAAGGAAGAGCGAACAAGAGAAGTGACATGAGAATCCAGGGTGAGAGCTGGGTCAAAGGTCACGCCAAGATTCCTGACAGAAGGTTTGGTTTGGGAAGCAAGCTGACCAAGAGAATCTCTGACTTTGGGAACCAGCTTGTCTGGGGCACAGATGAGGATCTCAGTCTTATCTTCATTCAGCTGAAGAAAGCTCCCACCATCCAGGTTTTGATAGAGTCTAAGCAGGTGTGTAACAGCTGCAGCTTAGACATCTCATGGGGCTTAAAGGAGATGTACAGTTGGATGTCATCTGCAAAAAGATGGTAGGAGGAGCTCAGAATGTGCTGAAGAGGAAGCAGATAGAGGAGGAAGAGCAGAGACCCCAGCACAGAACCTTGTGGGACACCATGGGTAACGGAGGTGGTGGTGGACCTAAACTTGGATCGGTTGGATATGAACTTGAAACATTATCATTCTGACACCTTATAGGTCTGTACGCAGTCCATGCCGCAATCCAGCGAGGACATTCATTCATTTTGACAGAACTAAAGCAAACTGTACATGGACAACCAAACAAGAACTCAGATCGAGGTCCTCCCTGGAACAATCAGGAGGGCAAGCCGTTAGTGCTGACAGCTCATCTGCTGCCTGTCAATCAACAGGACGCACACTTAATTACCTGTCATTTCAAGCTTTGAATACATCTAAACGTGTGAGTTACAGAAGATCTCAACCCTCACAGTTGTACTGCCTATAAGCTAGACCTACTGACCCTGAAATGTTATTTTTGAACCAAACTGTAAACATGTTTATTTCTGCTGCACCATTTTAGCTGACAACAGCCATGAAACCCACAGAGTCGTAGTGAGAAAGTCACTTGTTTAGTTTAGAAAATGGGCTGCACTAACCAAATTTGACCACGTGGTGTCATTCTTACTTAATTCTTACATAATGCACCTTGAAAAAAACGATGCAAAAAATTAGAAAATCACCTGTGCAGGCGATCCACTTCCTAGTCATGTCTACTCTCTTTTGGGCGTTTGACAACAGAAAATTAAAGTGTGTAAATGAGTGCAGATTCATGGGGGGTTTGGTTGTATCAGACATTCACAACATCCTGCACCAGTGATTCAAATGTTTAAAGGTGTGGTTGACTGTAAATCCAGGGCTGTACGTTAACATTTGTAGCTTGTAGCACTGATGCTACAAAGGTTGTAGGAATTTTCAGCACATAGCAAAAAGTATTATTACTAATAAATACAACTGCATAATATTAATGGAATGTCGTTGGTGTAAGGGTTTAATGTGCAAATAAAATTGGGGGGCAGTCTGCCACAGGGATGCAGAAATGGGATCCATACCCACTCCTTTATTCCTTCTTTATTATGTCCTCCCTCCAGGACCTGTACTACCAGTCCTACGCTCAAGTCGGAGTCTTGTTCGCCTCCATCGCCAACTTCAACGACTTCTACATCGAGCTGGATGGGAACAACATGGGAGTCGAGTGCCTGAGGCTGCTCAATGAGATCATCGCTGATTTTGATGAGGTGGGAAACGGTTTGTCCCGTTCAACCATCCGTCTGTAAATCACTTGTTTTTATAGCCTTTCTTCTCTCCCTGCAGATCTCAGGTCAGAACGCCATCTTTAAAAAATGACACTGCGGCCGCGACTGGGTTTTAAAAAAAAAACAAAAAAACACGTGGGCTGATGTAATTTAATAAGCAATGGTCACAGCTGGGAAATTTCTGCAATATAACAAATTACTCACAGATGACGTTTGGCTTGCTGGAATCTATAATCGGATACATGAAGCATTAATTTACACAAACATACTGAAACAGTCCGACTGTCGCTGTGTGTGTGTGTGTGTGTGTGTGTGTGTGTGTGTGTGTGTGTGTGTGTGGGGGGGGGGGTTAAACATTTTTCAACATTTAGGATATTTCCCAGTTTTGATCCCATTTCACTGTTCTTCCCTCCAGCTGATGGATAAGGAGTGCTACAGGGACATCGAGAAAATCAAGACCATCGGCAGCACGTACATGGCTGCAGTGGGGCTGGTTCCTACAACCGCTTCCAAGGTAAACATGTTATATTTAGACCCGGGGATTGGTTTGTGTTTGCAGAGTAAAGCTCATTTTTTAAAGCTGCATTGTTGAGAGGCCTCTCATCTCCAGGTAAGTAGTTCCCGTTCTAAATGCTGCCGCGGTTCACTCAACAGAATCCTCTGAGAGGGATTACCGGCCGATTTGGCGTCAGCATATTCTGCATTCGTGAAGTTTCCTTAAACCACACAAAGCCGACGAACAAAAGAGTCCTTTCTGAAACATCTGCAGAGCTTAAAATAACCTGAACACTTGTTGCTGCTGCTGTTTGGGGAAACCCCTGCTGGGTTATGAGTAATTGAGTAACGCTCTACACTCATCACTCTTTCCTCAGACAAAGAAATCCATCATCTCACACTTATGCACCGTGTCGGACTTTGCCATCGAGATGTTTGACGTCCTGGATGCCATCAACTACCAGTCATACAACGACTTCGTCCTGAGAGTCGGTGAGTGGCTTCACCTGAGACCTTCTGACCTTTCAAACAGGACGCCGCTGAGAGGCCCATTCTCCTGCGTTTGCTGGGAAAACGCATCACAGCGCTCGCGTCCCCTCCAGGAAACCCGTCACCTGACGTTCTGGGCTCCATTGTGTTGGGTATCCTGTGGAGAGTATGCAACAGGAGGTCAAGTTGAATCCCAGAGAAATCTGCTGGACACAAAGTTATCCTGTCAGCAGAGATCGGAGCAATGATTCGCTGTTGGCAGAAACTTTGGATGACAAAGAAATTCCAAAAAATTTGCAAGTTTCTGTTGTTTAGATCCACCAGAGCAGCTTGTAAAGAGAAGAAAAAGTGTTTATCTGCAGAAATAATGTCATCACAGCAGACATGGAGAAGAGGACAGTGGTTTAGCGAGCTTCGAATCCTTTTTCCAGGACTACAGAAGGAGCACAAACATATAAATGTTGCCTTGTGAAAAGCAGCAGCTTTACAAGCTAAGAAATCTCTAATGGCATGACAAACATGGTGGACACACTCTCTTATCATTTAACTTGAAGTACAACACATATTTGAGTCAGGTCGTAAGGCAAAGTGGATTTGAAATGAGCTTTAATAACCCCGGTCACTTGCGTTCATTTTTTCAATTGGACCCATGAGCCGACCAGAAGGGGAGGAGACTTAGGCTCTCTTTTTTGTTCCTACCAGGTATCAACGCCGGCCCGGTGGTAGCGGGAGTGATCGGAGCCAGAAGACCTCAATATGACATCTGGGGAAACACAGTCAACGTAGCCAGCAGGATGGATAGTACTGGAGTCCAAGGAAAGATACAGGTACGTGATTCTAAACTACATGTATAGGACTCAAAACTACAGTTCTAGGACCCTGAACTGTAGATAGGCCTACAGGACTATAAACTACAGATATAAATGACTCTAAACTACAGGCAAAGGGACTCTAAACTACAGATACAGGATTCTAAACTACGGGTATAGGAATCTCAAGTACAGGTAAAGGAACACCAAACTGCAGGCATAGGACTCTACGTAAACTACAAGTCTAGGACCCTGAACTACAGATTGGCCTACAGGACTCTAAACTACATGTATAGGACTCTAAACTACAGGTCTAGGACCCTGAACTGCAGATAGGCCTACAGGACTATAAACTACAGATATAAATGACTCTAAACTACAGGCAAAGGGACTCTAAACTACAGATACAGGATTCTAAACTACGGGTATAGGAATCTCAACTACAGGTAAAGGAACACCAAACTGCAGGTATAGGACTCTACTGTAAACTACAGGTCTAGGACCCTGAACTACAGATTGGCCTACAGGGCTCTAAACTACATGTATAGGACTCTAAACTACAGGTCTAGGACCCTGAACTGCAGATAGGCCTACAGGACTATAAACTACAGATATAAATGACTCTAAACTACAGGCAAAGGGACTCTAAACTGCAGATACAGGATTCTAAACTATGGGTATAGGAATCTCAACTACAGGTAAAGGAACACCAAACTGCAGATATAGGACCCTGCGTAAACTACAGGTCTAGGACCCTGAACTACAGATTGGCCTACAGGACTCTAAACTACATGTATAGGACTCTAAACTACAGGTCTAGGACCCTGAACTGCAGATAGGCCTACAGGACTATAAACTATAGATATAAATGACTCTAAACTACAGGCAAAGGGACTCTAAACTGCAGATACAGGATTCTAAACTATGGGTATAGGAATCTCAACTACAGGTAAAGGAACACCAAACTGCAGATATAGGACCCTGCGTAAACTACATGTATAGGACTCTAAACTGCAGATACAGGACTCTAAACTACATGTATAGGACTCAAAACTGCAGATACAGGAATCTCAACTACAGGTATATGACTTTGAACCACATAAACTACAGGTACAGGATTCTGCACTGTAGAGCACTGAAGCAAACGAGGGACATTGATACAATTGAGCATCTGAAAAGGTCCTCCCCATGATTTAGAATGAAGCATTGGATCATAGAAGCCTTCTTCATCTTCTCTGACCCATCCCTGTTCACAGCTCCTGAGTGGACGTCTGCTGCTGTATAGTCGTTTTCGCTGGGACGGTCACTCTGTAACACGACTACATTAAGATTTTAGAAGACAGAAACTGACAGATTTGGACATACACAACAACCTGTTGTGTTCCACGCTGATGCTATGTTGAAGTCTGCCCAGCAGATGTCACTCATTTAATTGGGTTCTAATGGTTCACAACGCTAAACCATTTCAACCCATTTGCTCCGTATTGGTTCAACGGTTTGGAAAGCTGTGGTTTCCCCATCACTACTATCTGGCATTCATTCTGGAACGTTACATACGTCCTCCGACATTCTTACTTGTGGTTTTTCTCTCGTCCAATAAGCACATTAGCACTAGCTAAGGCTACCATTACCAGAAGCTCAGTCTAGCATTAGCAGGCTAGTATTAGGGCAGCAGTAGCTCAAGAGGCAGAGCGGGTTGTCCAGTGATTGGAAGGTTGCAGGTTCGATCCCAGCTCCAGACAGAGAATTCTATCTGAATTCTATATGAATTCTGTCTGAATTGCCTGCTGGTGGTGGACGGAGGGACCGGTGTCTCCTGTGCTCAACAGCCTTGCCTCTGTCAGTGCGCCGCAGGGCAGCTGTGGCTACATCGTAGCTCATCATCACTGGCGTGTGAATGTGTGTGTGAATGGATGAATGATACTCGGTAGTGTAAAGCGCTTTGGAGTGCTCTGGCTCTGAAAGGTGCTATACAAGTGCGGGTCATTCATCATCATTTATTAGCACTAGCTAAGACTACCTTTGCCTGAAGCTCAGGTTAGCATTAGCACTACTGCTACATAAAAAGCATTCATCTGCTATGTTTCTCATCCAGGTAACAGAAGATGTCCATCGGCTCATCAACAACTTCTACAACTTTGTTTGTCGGGGTCAGGTCAGCGTCAAGGGCAAAGGTCAAATGCTAACATACTTTCTCGAGAGTCGAAGACCGGGCAGCCAGCCTTCTCAAAGCCAGCAGCACACCAACGCTGAGCGCCGGTCGAGCACCTTCACCCGCGCCAGCGTGTGCACCAGGCTAAGCCCCGCCCCCACAGTGACCTCCTACTCTAATGTCAGGACTCTGAGCTCGAGCATGGCCAAACCGACCGCCTCTACCAGCACCAGCAGGTATTTGCCATCTGTTTCTGCAGCAGGGGTGTGACAAATTCACACTTGTAAGCTTGAAAAACAAAACGTTAACGAGGATGCTGCAGCGGAAAATTCCCTTCTGCGCTCTCTGTCTGATGTCTGTGGAGCGCAGGAAGGAGGAGATCGTTGAGCCTCGGCCGAGACCTGGTTTTTGACGTGGGACTGGCTGGTCTGGGGTCTCCTTCAGATTCTTCCTCCACGTTAAGTCCTGTTTGCTGTGTCGCAGCGCAGGTTTGTCTTGATCAGGACGCAGGAAGCTTCGGCCACGTTGATTTGTCGTCAATCACAGGCCAAGGATGTCTCCAGGATGGACTGCCAGAACTATTTCCACAACTACAAGGAGCTATAAATCAGCATGGAAACTAAAACATGTTGCAATGCAGAACTGTTAGTGTAGCACAGAAGCTTCTCACCTGGAGATTCCTTTAAACCCACCGTATCATTCAGAATGAGACCAAATCAGTGGTGTTGCCTTAGCGACCACTCCTCACAGAGAGTTTCCTGAAATTTCTTGTCTTTTGTTTCCTTTCAGTTCCGTTCTGGATTTACTGAACATGAGTTAGGATGTATCCATCTCATCTAAGAGACGTGCGTGCTTTTTTAAAAAGCCAAGTGTTTGATTCGTCACGGCGGTTAACTAAAGAAACTTACCAAAAGCCGACTGAGTCGCTTACGGGTGGGCCATGCCACGTAGTGCCCCTCCATTGAAACCCCTTAACAGCAAATGAAGCCACTTCTTTGATTTCTTTAACCATTGTTAAGCAGGGGCGCCCCCAAGGGGTAGCCAGAGGTGGCCGTGGCCACTCCTAGAAAATTGCCCCCCCCCCCCCGAAAAAGCCAGTTTTAACAAATCATATTAATGTTCGGTCAAACCATTTATTGTTCTTGTTTATTCAAGACATAATTATAAAAAAGTATCACAGTTAATGAGTAAAGAAATAATCAGAATAAAAACAATACATGTTTCTGCTGCTAACCATTTAAAAAGTTTTTATCTCCATAGTTTTTTAACACAGCAACAGGTGAATTAACCCCCAAAAAATACATTTTTAAATTTAATCATGGATAACGTTTTAAACAACTGAAATGTGTATTTCTGAAATATTTCTGTTTGTAAAATTTATACGTACTGTTATTTTAATAAAAACGAATAAAGGCGCAACGCAGCACATCGCCACAGGATAAATTCTCCCAGCTTTACCTCAAGGACCAATTTTGAGTGCCACCTCAAAAATGTCTTTGGCCCCATCTGGCCACCCCTATCAAAATTTTCTGGAGGCGCCCCTGTTGCGAAGTGCATGATGCCACAGCTGCATTTCAGTCATGTTTGCCGTCTGCTTCCCCGTGACGCCTGACTTCCAGACTCTTCCTCATCAAAGTGTAGCAATAAAGTGGTTTGCCTCCTATTTCGGCCCGTTCACTCTTTGCATGCCGTAGCCTGCTGGGTCTTTGGCCCAATAGTGTTTGTATCCGATAAAGTGTGCGTAGCTATCCGCACCAGTTTTTATCTCTGTGGAAATGAAGCATGACTTTAAAACTTTTGTTCCGGTATGTTGTGATTCCCCCTTTTTCCTCACAGACTTCTCTTTGTAAAAGAAAAAGAATCCTTATTTTCCATTTATGAAAACGATTTTCACGTGTTAAAATATTCTACTCTGCTATTTTTATGAGCTGAAAGCTGCTTTTGGTGAAGAAAAGAAAACTCGTGTTCACGAGGAGACACCCAGACCTCTGGTTCTGGCTTCGTCATGCAAACCCAGATGATTTATTTTAACGGTGTAGCATGCTACTCACCGCGCGGCTTACCGCAGCCATTAACCCTCCTCTAATCTGTTCTAGCATGCAATGCCTGCAAGCCTGTGGCTCTTACATGCATGCTTTGATGACACGCTGGTGCAGGCGGTGCAGAAGACACACTAACTCTTTTTTTAATGTCGTCCTCATGCATGCGCTCACAGTAGCGGCTCCTCTCGAATGTAAGGTGCTTTATTGACTCGTGTCTTCTTCATGAGCTCAGTGTGTGAATCTTCAGGATAGATCAAGCCAGGGGCTTCTCCTCCTCCTCCTCCTCCTCCTCCTCCTCCTTCCTGCTCCTGCTGTAGTCAACAGGTAGCTGGTATTTCAAACGTGCCAACCTATTTTCATGAACATATCAAACTTTTCGTGTTGAGCTGTAGCACAACTGAACGCGTGTAGCTACAGATTATTGTGGGATTCTTTGTGTTTGAATGCTTGTATTTTTACTAATCGAGTTGTTATTTAACGGTTTTATAAAACAACGTAAAAGCAAGAATTGATTTTGGAGAGATTACATGACAGAACATATGTTGTACCTGATATATTTGTATGATATATTATTAAATCCAGTTGCTTTCTTTGAGGTTTAAAATGAGGATTTTTATACACTTGCTTGAAGAAAACTCGATGGAAATGAGTTGTGTATAATATTTTCTTGTAAATTGGATATTTTCTTACTGTATGATACGGGTTTCGATCGTCACATGTAGGTATAACCAGCTAATATAGTCTTTTTCTCAGATATTTAATGACCGATCGGATATTTGTCAAGTTTTTTGTTGAAAATGTATTTATTCAGATGTTTTTTGTGAATGTAAATTTTGTCAGAGACAATATTTTCTACTAAGTGTTTGCACTGCAAGATAATTGACATATTACAAGAAGAATAAAGCCAGCGGCGTTGTGCCTCCTGCTGTAGGAACGCTGCTCCGTTGTTTTATTTAGCTCACACAGATCACGATGAGAAGATGGTGACCTTTAGTCAAAACTACCCAACAAACAAAACAGACGCCGATGACAGAAGTCGGTGAAACAATAAGGCCAATGTCTGCTTGTTGGTGACCTCAGTGGTGATAAAAACTCTACTGCAGCCATAAAAACATCTCAGCAGGCTTTGTTTGCAGAACAGACTCAATGTCACACACGTCTGATGCTGAGTCACCGAGTGTTTAAAACAGGTCAAAGATCATTTTGCTGCTTAAAGGTGAAGTCGGAGATGTTTCCTGTAGCATTCAGGCCAGCTCTGTACCCTTAGGAGGTGCTGGAGGGTGCGTGGGGGTTTGCATGTGTCTTGTGGATTTGGAGAAGGCGTCCCTCGGGGGGGGGGGGGGGGGGGGGGGTATTCAGGAGTATGGGGTAGCAGGCCCTTTGATACTGGCATTAAGTCGAGCTGGTTCCTGGTGAGAGTTGGACTCCACCAAAGCTGCTGTTCTTAACTCAATCACTGCCAATGACAAAAGTCGTCATTTGCATTTTTTTACTGTGTGGGCGTCGGACGAGCCCCCGCACCGTGAGAACAAACATCTCAGCTCCAAAGCCAATCTGCATCCGCGTACGTCACACGTCACATGATCAGGAAGCAGCAAATCCACACGTTAGGAGATCGTTTTGGGCCGCTGCTGTAAATAAAGGGAGGATCGAACCAGAAAAGCTTCTGCCGATTACAACTCAACAACGGATTGAGAAAGAACGGATAACGCTCGAAACGCGCGGATTCTTCCTGATGTAAGAGGTGTGTCTGCTCTTTGTTTTGGTTGTTTTGACGCTGACATCATCCTAGCGCGCAACATTCTGACTCTTAAAAAAACAGTAAAAACAGTGAGAAACGCTGGCAGCGAAGGAGTTAATGATTGGATCCTGAAATGTGTTTTCCAGGATCTTCTACACTCTACCCTTAATGTTAACATGAAAATCAGATTTATTTGATTATATTTATAACCAAAATAAAACCGGTGTGCACCAACTGTAGACCAGCAGACATGCGCAGGACCGGATCAGGCAGGTTTCTGGTGAAGGTACTAATCCTGATACTTCATCTGGATGCTTTCAGGCCAGCAGGAGTTTGATAATAACAATAGTTAATGAGATTAACTGTATTTCTCAGTGGGCTTGTGCTATTGGCAGATACGACTGCAGGCAGCATTTTTGAGAGCTTCAAATTGTCCAGAAGAGGTTTCTCAGGCGAGTTTCTTTTTCTTATTAACAGTTCTTGTTACTTAAATGTTTGTTACTTTTTAAAAGTTTTTAATCAGTTGTAGCAAAAGGGTTGCAGGTTCGCATCCCATCTGTCCCAGTCATTTTGTCCTTGGGCAAGACACTTCACCCTCCAAGTCTGCTGGTGGTGGTCGGATGGACCAGTGGTGCCTCGCATCTGTCAGTGTTCCCCAGGGCTGCGCATCACCACCAGAATGTGTGTGTGTGTGTGTGTGTGTGTGTGTGTGTGTGTGTGTGTGTGTGTGTGTGTGTGTGCGTGCGTGTGTGTGTACGTGCATGCGTGTGTGCGTGCATATGTGCGTGTGTGTATGGCTCGACAGCCATGATGAATGCAGCCTGCTCTGCATCCCACCGCTGGATGTTTAGAATGAACTCAACAGAGCAGAAGCCTTCATCCGAAACGCTCAATGTGGCCAAACACCAGAAAAGGAAGATGCCCCAGGTGAACATTTCACCTGTTTAGGAAAAGATCAGAACCAAAAATTCCCAGTAAACAAACAGCTAAGTGACATTCGGCTTTATCTCAGCAGAATCAGCTGTTGCAGGTCAAGAATCTGCAACTGAACATCAACATTATGTGAACTGTGGCTGATTTTTATGTCTCATGTCAGACTTTTGATAGAAAGTCCTACAGAGGTGTGAGATTTCAACTTTGCGAACTGTTGTAGAACCAGAGGAACATCTAGAATTCACCGTGATGGAGTAACGTCTCTGGCAGGTGGGTCGCAGTCGGCGCGTTTCAGGCTCCGTCCTCTCTCTCCCTCTCATCTGTCGTTTCTTTGTCGGAGGACAAAGAAAACAAAACAACCTTATCTTGTGCGTCTGTTTCTGTTGGAAGCTGAGAGCGAAAGGATGTTTCAAGTCCTGTCGCAGGAAGAACCGACCTGTAAACATTCATCAGCGACAGAAAAAAAGATGAATGTGTTTAGCTGTTGCTGTGGCATGCAGAGCATCCTGAGTGACAGGTCGTCATGGCAACACAACAAGGTTTTAGCCCCAACATGAAAACATCGAGGTTGTGTTTTCAAGGGGCAAGCGGTAAACCAGCGAGTCCCCCCACCCCCCCACCCCACCCCCGCCAATGTGATTCATGCTGATTGTGTGCAATCAGCCTAGAGGATGTCAATATTCCACTTGTTAATGACTGAAACTGTGTGTGTGTGCGTGCGTGTGTGCATGTGTGTGCACGCGCATGTGAGTGTGCGAGTGTGTGTATGCGTGTGTGTGTGTGTGTGCATGTGTGTGTGTGTGCGTGTGTGTGTGCGAGTGTGTGTATGCGTGTGTGTGTGTGTGTGCATGTGTGTGTGTGTGTGCGTGTGTGTGTGCGAGTGTGTGTATGCGTGTGTGTGTGTGTGTGTGTGTGTGTGTGTGTGTGTTTACCACCTGCTGGACTCTGAGATAAGATCGAGCCCCACCATCAGCGTAAACACACACACTCAGAGATAAGCAGCGGAAACGGGCCTTTTCAGGTTTCCAGCTGCCTGAGTCACACACCGCAGAGGGAGGAGGCCGCAGCACTGATGCAGCCGGCCGGGACGCTCTTTGGGGTTAATGACAGTTTTACTGCTGCGACCCCTCCCTCTCACTGCTCACCCAGTGGCCCAGTGTGTCATAACATCCCTTACTGTAAACGCTGCTGGAATCTGGACTCTGCAGCGTAGGAGGAAAAACAACTTCCACTCCTGCAAGCCTAAAACGTAGAAGTCCCCATTGTTATGTTTGTGTTTAGACAACCGAATTAGTGTTTAACGTCAAACATGTTCATCGTCTGCAGCAGAACTAAACTTTTCCCACACAGAACAAGATGGTCTTTAACTCATTCACTGCCAGCGTTTCTCACCGTTTTACTATTGTTTTAAGTCACAGAACGTTGCGCGCTAGGATGATGTCGACGCCAAAACAAAGCGGAGACTCACCTCTTACATCAGGAAGAATCTGCGCGTTTCGAGCGTTATCCGTTCTTTCATAATCCGTTGTTGAATTGTGATCGGCAGAAGCTTTTCCGGTTCGCGCCTCACTTTTTTTTACAGCAGCGGCCCAAAATGATCTCCTAACACATGGATGTTCTGCTTCCTGATCACGTGACGTGTGACGTATGCGGATGAAGATCGGCTTTAGAGCTGAGATGTTTGTTCTCACGGTGCGGGGGCTCGTCCGACGCCCACACAGTAGAAACATGCAAATGAATGAATTAAGATGCTGTGTAACGGTGTCATTTAACTCTTAAACATCCACACAAGAGGAAAGTATGTGTGGTTATTTATTATTTAATATAATAATCTATTATACATTTTAGTCGACCTATAATCTAATGTCAGATGAAAAATCAAAACCTTTTTCTTCAAGGTTTCAGGGAGCGGGTGTCCAACAGGTTAGTTTTACCCTACTGATGATGTGTTGTTGCAATAGTAATCCTGCTCAGTACGAGAGGAACCGCAGGTTCAGACATTTGGTGTATGTGCTTGGCTGAGGAGCCAATGGGGCGAAGCTACCATCTGTGGGATTATGACTGAACGCCTCTAAGTCAGAATCCCGCCTAGACGTAATGATACCGTAGCGCCGCGAATCTTCGGTTGGTCCCGGATAGCTGGCCCTCGGGCTGGTGCGGAGAGCCGTTCGTGACTGGGCTGGGGTGCAGCCGAATGATGGCTGCCCCTCTCCAATTGCGCACTGCACGTTTGTGGAGAATGTGGTGCTAAATGACTTGCAGACGACCTGATTCTGGCACAACATCAGGCGAGAAGCAGAGGACACTCTGGACATGTCTCCTGTCCATCACAGGGACACAGAGAGACAAACGAATCACACATTATTTGCTAAACTTTTGAGGGTTTTTTTTCTGCTGGCATCAAGTCTCTGAAATAAAATGATGTTTCCTTTGACTGCTGGTTTGCACACCCATGGCCTTTTCTCGATGAGCTTCTGAAATGGTTTCCATCATTCTTAAGGAAGTTACCAGTCATGCTGAATACTTCTTGTCTTCACTCTGTGGTCCATCTAGTCCCAGATCATCTCAATTGGGTTACGTCCGGCTGAAACCAGTCCATGTGGTGCGGCCCTCCATCACTCCTACTTGACGAATTCACCCTTAGACCACCTGGAGGAGCGTTTGCGGTAAAAAAAAAAATAAAGGGAACTGAACACAAACCAAATGTGATGGAATTTCGTGATGCTGTGGTAGCCATGTTGGTTCAGTGGGTCTTCAACGTCAAATAAATCCCAGTCATCAGCAACACCTGGATGATGGATGGATGGAAATCTAGACCAGAAGCTACCAGGATGAACTGAGGAGGTTCTACACAGCAAACATTGACTCTTCATGTACAATAAAGGTACCCGCCCATGAAAGCTCTCAAAAATATTAACCGGTTGGTAACCAGTAACCATAGAAACAAAAACTCTGTAGATGCAAACGTTGTCAAGCCCGTTTGAGCTGACATGTTGACTTCGGAAATTGAGATCGTCATCCACACCTTCATCTCCTCACGCTGACCGTGGCTTTCCACTGGCTGTGGAAGCGGGCGCGTAACGTGATGGCGAAGTTCCACCCGCAAGCTCGTTCCCAAACAAAGCAATTCTGATGCCAAACGGGAGTGACAGCATTCCACACAGTTGATCCCGTGACGTCACGAAATCACAGGAGAATTGCAACACCACTTGTGATTCCTCACGGTAATAAACAAGAAGAAACACGGCTGCGTGCATGAATAAACGTCCATGTTCTGTTTACATCGGTTACAGAAATCCACAGGAAATGACGTACTACACGTGACCTTTATTGTGAAAGTTTCCGGATGTTCTACACGGCTTTTGTGTTTGACTTCATGTCTAGCTTCATCTAAACTGCAGTGTTTTGGAAGCGTAGTCATTCAATCAATCAATCAATCAATCAATCAATCAATCAATCAATCCGATTTATTTATATAGCACCTACCACCACCATATTGGAGGCCCAAGGCGCTGAACAGCACATGTAAACAGGGATAAAAACAACACAGTAGCT